ATTATTTGTCAGGTCGGTCAATTTTCATTCGACCATTTTTACAAGAACAACTCTACTAAGATTTTACCCTTGCCGCCTTCGAACTTTTCGACATTTCTACTTTCGGCATTTTTGGTTTTCGACATTTCTACTTTCGGCATTTTTGATTTTCGACATTTTTACTTTCGACATTTCGCTTTCGACATTTTTCCTTTCGACATTTTACTTTTCGACATTACTCAGTACATTCATTTTGTTCAGTGGCAGTTAAGCGTTGTTCAATTGCTGTCAGACGTTTTTCCACTGATTTCATGACAGATGCATGCAAAATGTCGACAATACCACTGTGTTATTACTTGATAATTTCAAAGACGATAACTGTTCTTTAATCTTCGAATCGTTGAGCGCTTCCTTGATGTCGTTTTTAATCCAATCACTATTGACAATATCGTATAGATCAAGAACAATCTTGGATTTCGTAGTACCAGTTAGACGTGGCGTAAAATATTCAGTTTTTTTATCGGTAGATTAGCCACGAGAGAGTACACGTTAGAGTAGTTATAAATTAAGAAAACATATATAATATATACGTCTATCTTGTTCGTTCAAGATTGTGATATTTAGTTATATATTATTTAATATTAGGTTGGCAACAAAGTTTTGCATTGTTTTTGAAAATTTTCTAGAACGTTCAAGGATAATTCCTTCGAGAACGTACCAGAGTTTACATCGACTTTAACCGAATGGAATGAAACTTTCTGAATTTGTAGGACTAGTAACCCTAAGCATAGCTGTAGGGGCAAAAAAATTTTAAAACCTTGGGAAGGGGTCCGAAGGAGGGAGCCAAGGTAGGTTTTCCTAGCAAAACTGGACCATGGCTAGCTTTTCTATTTCAAATGATAGAAGTCTGAAAATTCTACCATAGATACTACTCGTTGAGTTGATCATTTTTTGTAGCGGACGTTTTTTCCCCCGTGTTCTGTTTTTTGGGAAATTGCTATAGAAAATCCTAATTTTTCGCGTTTTTTGGGCTCAAGTATCTCTATGAAGCCCAAATCAAATTTTAACTTTTATTAGTGCTCTTGAATCGTCTAATTGTCCTCTATCTAATGCTGAAATCCGCAGGTCTCCAGCTTGTTTCTGAACCAAATGGCAAAGCCATCTTTGAGCCCTACTTTCGATGTTTTCCCAACTTTGAACCCCCCTCACGAACAACTGTGGGATTCCCAAAACCTGTCCTATAGTAGAACTTCATCAGCACACCTAGCTCTACCATTCCTGAAATTTTCGTTTTTGGTCAATGCAATTTGACTGAGAAAAGCGACTCCAAAGTTGTGAAAAAAATGCATTGTTATAACTATTGTCAATACTATATCATAAGGATTGTTTTCAGCGAAAAGGTCACTTCCTATGTAAATTTCATGCTGATTATAAATATGCTGTTACTCTTTATGTTTCGCCCAATGAAGATATGCTATATGTTTCAATAAAAATGCCGTATTGGTTGTCTAAATGACTTATATCACTTTCAATCACGCATGTCATCTCGTAGATGACATGCAGAATGCAAAAGAAATATTTTGCGTTCTGTCGTCTTCTTAAACGACAATATCATATGACGTGTTTAAAGTTCAATCTGTTCATCACACGTGGTTCTTCATATAACAGCTAGATCTTGTCTTTTTTATATTTAGCACTAATGAATCTATATTTCAAACGCAGCTGATTTTGATGACAGAATGCAAGAGAGAGAGAGAGAGAGATTTAGCTATTTTTTTCGTGTTCATGCAGAACGAGAGGAAAGTTCGGGATTGAAAGGGATATATGTGGTCTTTGACTTGTTTTGTCATGTTCTTATAATTCATTTTTCAATCAGCCTGCCACAGATTATTAAAAGAATATCGCTTTATCTCTTCTAGATATAATTTAATAAATGACTTTGTGTTGTCATCCAACTCGTCATGTTGGAAAGACCTGATCAGGTCAGAGACCATCATGGCCCATGGGAGACAGAAAGATTCCTGCAGCTATAGCTGCATGTATGACAAAGCGCTATTCAAATTCCGAACATTCAAAATGCACATTATTCTCTGAAGCAAACTGTCTTTGTCGTAATTGCCTCCAGTATGAAACTGAATTCTATAACAATGTATACTTGGATAAAGAAAAAAAAATCGACTTTGATGATGGTGAGGACGACAACACATACACAGCGTTACCACCATCATTATCATCACTAAGAACACCATCAAAAAGGTTTAAAAGAGAACAGCATTACTTTGAAAATGATTCAGAAAACCGAAACTGAAGAGTAACACTGTTCTCTCAAATGCGAATATTTGAAATTTGAGAATGTGAGAATGTCAGAAGTTTAGAAGAACACTGTTCTGCAAATTTCAAGCTAATCAGAATTGGCGAGAGGCAGTTTCTTACAATTGCAGATTCTGTGTATTTTTGAGTATCACTTTTCTGTCAGTTGAGAAATGTTTGGAATTTGACAATTTCAGATTTTTAAAAACTTGGAATGTGATGCTCCCCGAAAAGCAGAATAGCACTCTTCTTTGAAATGAGAAATATTTCGAATTTCAGAATCTGATAAGTTTGCAATAACACTATTGCTTGAACTCGAAAGTCTTTAGAATTTCTCAATTTCAGAATCTTAAAAGTTGTGAATGCCAATGTTGTGTGAATTCTGAAACCTTTAGAGTTTCAGCGTCTCAGAGTCGCTGAATTGTATATGGCATACGGTACATGTATTAACTCACACTTATCTTCCAGATGAGAATTTTCTTTAAAATATTATTTCCAGATTCCGGAATGCTACAGTGTTCAAATGCAGAAATCCCGGAGTTTCTCAAAACTCGAAGTTCTGACTGTCTTGAGATTCTGAAATTCTGAAATTGCTGAAATTCTGCAGCTGTTCAAATTCTGAAGTTCTGGAAGTCTTGATTTTCTAGTGTGATTGTACGCGAGTTATTCTGAAACGTACAATGTCAAAAATTGAATACTTTAGTCTTAAGTCATTGTTATATTGTATAATAATAATTTGACAGCTGTGTAATATTTTGATGAAAAATGCCTTTTTATCCAGAATGAAATTGATATATATGATCTAGATAAAAAGCGACATCAAACCATATAAAATTCCACTAGTTTGTTGAATTTCTGATATTTCAATATTTTATTTGACACCAGTACGTTTCCTCGATGACGAAGGTTTTTTAGCCGGAGGAATATCAGTCGTTGATCCAGCTCTTTTATCTGGTGACACTGCACTGTAAATAAAAAGCGTATACTAGAAAACCCAAAACGCTTCGAAAACCCTTTCGAAAACTGTTTTCGGTATTCGAAATGATCTCGAAAACTCCTTTCCGTATTTGAGAATATACGTAGCGTACTTGAACCCTCAAAAACCCTTGGAAAAAACAAAAAAATTTCTCATACCCGAAACGGTATCCTCCAATACCGAACAAGGTATTATATAAAACTCTTTTTTTCCCAAACATTTTCCAAAACCTAAAACATATCAGGATATTCGTTTGTCGGTTTTCGAAAATACCTTTTCGGGTATTTGAATTATTTCCTATAAAACCCTTCGGTTTTCGAAAGGTAGAAAACTCCCTAGCGTTTTAGAAAAGACCTTTTCGATTGTGTTAGACGCATTTCGGAACCTTATTCCGTTTTGAAAAATAACGTTTTCTTTTTTTTCAAATTCAGAATGATCTTAAGAGGAATATTCAGAAACCCAGTTCCCCTTTTGCAGCATGCTCCGCCCTCTCCTCTTAGCAAACTAACAGGTTTGTATTCATGCACATGAATTTCTTAGTCGTGCTGAACGGTTTATAATGTATTCAAAAAATTAATCATATTTGTTCATCCTATACTGATGATCGTATTCAGAAAGCATATTTTTCTTCGTTCAAATCTACATTTATTAAACAATTTTGTTGTGAGATCAGCAATACAACTATTTTTGGACGCGTTCGCAACAGCTGATGGATACTTATCGACAAGAATTATCATCTGTGTATGATTGTCGTTGGGAAGTATATAGCATGCACGCTCTATCTATATTATGCCACAACATTGAGAGTTGTGGCACAACTTTCAAAGGGGAGAGGGGGATGACGCAAAGGAAGAGCTAACCAAAGAATAACGAGGATTTTTTAGCCGTGACGGTCCAGACGAAATCCCAGCGACTGTATTAAGAAAAACGTTAGTATCATTTCTATACAGCTGCACCATATCTTTAAATTATCCATCGAGACAGGAGAATTTTTTGATAAATAGAAAGTTGCTACAGTCAATCCGACCTATAAAAAGGGTCCTAAAAATATTGTGTCTAATTATAGACCAATATCTCGCACTTCTTTACCTATTAAATAACTTGACTCAAGTTATTTAATAACAGCAGTAACTCAAGTTTCACCTGACAACCATAATATAAGAACAGAAAGAAAAAGGGTCTGTATGCTTTCAAACTAGAAGGATAGAAAGCGAAAGGAAACCTGTTTCTTTTTCTTCAGTGAATAACAAAGAAGAAAAACAACAAATTGAAAAATAAATATTTCTCTTTTATCCAATATTAATCTCAGTCAATCGATATTTCTCGTTTATCCAAGTTGATGTTCTCTATCGAATGATGCTAGAGTCTATTCTTATAACAAAAGCACTACAAAAACTCGACAAAAATCCTTGTTAGTCAAAAAATCATGAAATTCTTCAGTGTATGATTCGTGTTGAATCATACATTGAATATTTTAAGTAGAATACGATCTTTATAATGTACAACGTCGGATAAATTATGTTTTTAACTTAATGAATCGTTGTAGTTTGGTTTTAGAGTCTAATTAATAAATTAATGATTAAAAGTTTAATTAAAATATAAAATTTTATGTTATACTGGAGAAGATGGTCCGTTATAATCGAAACGTCTCACTGTTGATTATAAATAATAAAATTTTACAAAGATAAAGTATATATTTTATGAAAATTAAAAATATAATACATTGAATATTTTTTTATGGAAAATTATCATACACTGAATCTTGTCGTTTTAATTCTTGATGCGTACCACGATATACAGTTGTCATGAATTTTAAATATTCATCATAGGATATTCGACCATCACGATTGCTATCCATATGATTATCCATCAAGTACTTCCCAGTTCTGAAAGAATTTGCTAAACTTTTTGAAGCGATAGTTCACTCTGTTTCTACAGACATCCTTTGATGAACAAATGAAATTTGTTGTAGATCGTACTTTATAACACGATCAATTACAGCATCTAGAGCTGTAACATTTGCGCGTCTTAAACATTGTTTTATTTCATCTGGAGTTATAGAACCATCTCTATTTAAATCGAAAGAATGAAATGAATCATTAATTTCTTGAAGTTCACTTTGACTCAGGCCACTGCCACTCATTTTGTTTAATCTAGACAAAACAGAAGAGACAGAGTTTCACATAACAACTTGAAATGGGAAACCATTCATACAATCAAACATCTATCACTTTTTCACTCTGTATTACCCAAAAACTAGTACTAGTGAGCGGTACTCCGATTTGGGATGATGTGAGATGAACGTAAATTCCAATCTGACATTAAAAATCAAAGACACACACTCACGTCTTTTTTCGTATTTTTTAAAAACACATTAAAGTGACTATGATTATAGAGAAAATAATGAATAAACTTTGCTTTTGTGTGAAAAGGAATCTTGAAAACAGGAAGAAATAATAAGAAAGAAGAAATCAAGAATAAAATGACCTACAAGAATGAGTTTTACAGACCAGATGTTTCATCTTGTAATGCTTTTAAAGTAGAGAGAGCGAAAGAGAAATGACATCTATTTTTTTTTGTTTTTCTGTTCTTATGTTGCTGTTGTTCGGTAAATAACAGAAAAAAAAGAAACAACAAAGTATTGAAAGCACCATTTCATCTTTCTTTTTCGCCCTCACTAGTTTAGAAACATCACAACATGAAACACTCTAAAATCACAGATGTAAAGAAAACGATTACTTATTTGTATATATATTGACATTCCAATGGACGTAGCTGTAATGAAACATAACGTATAATCTACAACAGATACACCTGAATTGAAATGAATCGTGATCATCTACACTCATGGTTCGTGTTGAGAATTAGTACATATACGTCGGAAAATTACGTTTTATTAAATAATGTTAATATACAACGTACAGTGGGCAATTTTGACTAGGCACGTGGACATATGCTGTAGAAGAGGTACAAAACTCTATAAATACATTTTTTATAGGTTTTCAAATATGCTCTTTCCAATTGTGAGATTTGAGAAATCCTGAAATAATTGGTTCTAGGTTTTTAGAAGATCGAATCTCTAGAAAACCTATAAAAAAATATTTTTTTATGGCGAAAATCTCAGTTTTTGATGCTGATTCCAAATATCACATTAGTTGTAAATAAAAGCTTTTCTGAGCTGGAAAAAATAGATTTTACCTGGAAAATCTCTAGAAGCAGATGCGCATATTTACGCTAACAAGATAGGCGTATCATATATAGAAGAACATTCTATGAAAGTTTGAGCCCAATTGAATGATGGCTAACGATGGCGCAGCCACATCTTCAGTGTCCAAGTATCCGCCACATCCACAACAGCTTAGCAAAAATAAATCACTGAGATTTTCCAACAGAAAAGACTTCTTTACTTTCTGAGATACAAGCGCTTTTTGGTCGAGGTGGCTGAAATCTGGCGAATTTTCATTTGATCCCACTGAAGAAATTGTTCAAACTGGCGGGGAACAACACAAAATAGTAATCAATGTTTTGGTGAGAATAGACCTGAAAATCCTGATGGTGATAATGCAGCGGCAGATGAGCCGTCAAAATCAAACAGTAGAAGTCTTGGTCAAAGTTGTGGTCGACGGTCAACAAGACAAAATGCGCATGCAGTTCCAACGTCTATATTAGTATTATCATTTCCACGGAGTTGTGTATACAAACAGATTCATTTTAATTTTTTTTTTGTTTTTAATAACCTTGCATTATTAAATTAATTACACCGTTGAAAATAAAATGTCTTTCAGTTCTAAAATCTTAACAGACGTTCTTGAAAGTTGCCATTACAAACTCTGTCAGACTCTTAGAGAACAAAACAAAAGCATACCGAAAGTCCATGTAAAAACAAACCCCATTTTCCCCAACTTTGGATAGCATTGACGAGCACTCCTACACATCGCAACAACAAGAAGATGATGTCTTTATCCATATATTATATATAACTCAAAAGAAATCTTAGTTTTAGTTTTTGACTATTTAACTTGCCATAAAGAAAAGCGAAAGTGAATTTACGACAGTATAAACTATATAAAGTTATAAAGTTCTATTTTTAATTGTAAACAAAAGACATTTTAGGCTTAGAAACATGCGGTACCGTTGCGCAGTATGGCATCTGCTACAGTAACATCGGTAGTAAGAAAAGGTCAACTTCTAAAAAAATATTGTTATCACACAAAAATAGAAATAGGCGACATTTATAATCAGATCAGCTATAACGTCGATTTGTCATAATATTCTCGATCCATTGCGAATCTTGCGGTCAGAAGACTTAAAAGGTTACGACAACATGAAAAAAATAATGACAACACAATTGATAATTAATGTCAGACATTTATAGTAATGTCTAACATAACAATAGAGTACAATAAGATGAGAATGTTTCTGCACTCTCATTTGTTTCATGACATGACACAGCGAAAGACGTCGCATCCATCGAAGTTGTCGTTTCAAAGTGTGAGCAGACTTGCACAGTTGAGATATCGTTTCTTCTACCGAAGAAAATCAGCTCACAAAATGATTTAGACCAAAATTCACCTTTTGTGCTGGAAAGAGAGAGTTTATAGACGGAAATTTAGGGTCATACCAGTCTTTCAGCGAGACTTACAGTCGATTCAGGACAGGCCAGTTCATAACGTTGCTAGTCGAAAAACTGTTACCGAAAAACAATTACTTTCTCTCCGAAGTATGCGTCCATCGACGAGGCAGCAAAAAGTGAAAAATGCGATGACTAAGAATTTATTGCCTTGTTGCTTCCACTTCGTACTGCTTCGTCTGTGTATTCCAATTATCTTTTAATCGATGAAAGAAAAAAAGAGTTTTTCATTTGAATGGGCCTGATATCGTTGTTGAGAATGTGGATGATAGTGTGCTAATCGTTGGAATGATTATTGAATTTAGTGTATTGTGTACTTGACCTAATTTGATGTCGGTTGTTTGAACTGACAGCATGAATGAATATAATTGTTTGACTAGGTCATCTATTTCTTTTGCACTATTTTGTTGTAGATCATTCAGTTGTTGAGCTAGTGAGTGAAATTAGGTAACTAAAGCGATACTTCAAAATAACAAAAAAAATTTTCAATAAACTCCAGCAGTCTTCTTTATCCCTTTTTCCAACGGTAAAACGTAACTAATTAATTGGCTTTTCCCTGTTTTTTGAACAGCGCAAAAAAATATTAGACAGATGGTTAATGCACGTTTGGCGGACGATTATATCATGAATTGTTGTTCATTTACGTATTTTGTAACTACAGTCGTGAAAGTATTTCTCCTTTCCTCTCAGGATACGCTAAAAGAACGCTGAGAAAGATTTTCCTGGAGAACAGCTGAGGTGGAAATTTCTAATATCCACAGTTTATTATCTGTCATCGTGACTCAGATCCAAAATTTTAGGACGTGAAACAGACCGAGCTGATCGGTTTTTCGGGTTTCACTGCCCACACTCTAAAAACAAATGATTTTCTGCAGAATCTCAAAAACGGGTCCGAATTTTGCAACCATTTTAAGGTTCCGTACCGAAAGGTTTAGTGCGGATCCCCTATAATTTTATGTTCAGAAAAGGTTTTGTGCACAAAGGTTTCGTATCGTTCTCTGAAAGGTCTCGTGTCGATCTTTCATTACCAAGTTGCAGGGGAAAAGTTATATTATCGCGTTTTGAAGGCTGTAATCTCTCGTTTTTATTCATATTATTTTCTGCTGGTTTTTCAAACAATCATCATGGAGTACAAAATAAAGGCAACTAAATATTGTCAAAAATAAATAAAAATCACACGAGTCAACTATGTTTTACGGTTTTTTCATATTTTGCATTCATTGTAGAGTTTTGCGCTAGGCCTTAGCGCCTAACAATTTCGTTAAGTTTGATTAAAACTAGATGGACTTATAGTGTTTACATGAGAGATATTTTATTAGAACAATTTTAGAAGTTCTTCTGCTGGATTCCATCTTCCGACCTCCACACATTGCACTTCTCCAACTACGCATTTTTCCATTGAACTAAATTGTAACTTAGTGGAATTATAATTTACGAAAATGCGTAGTTGGAGAAGTGCAATGTATGGAGGTCGGAAGATGGAATCCAGCAGAAGAACATTAAAAAGTCATATTAAAAAGTCATATTTTGAATCTGCCAGCTGCTTTGCTGAGCGGCAATTACTTTAAGTTACAAAACAGCAAAAAGTTTTTGGCCATAATGCTGGCATTTCTTTCTTTATGAAAATCCTCCTCGATTCTTAAAATCATGACTCTCTCTCTCTCTATCTCTCTCTTTATCCTATTTGTATATAAATAATAAATTGAACAAGAAGGTAGTCACTTTAGTTTTATTAACATTTTATGTTCTTTTGGTCATAAATTTGCAGTTTGGTAAGTAGATTCTGAAGAAATACTAAGGCACAGTCAGTACACTGCGTCCTATGCGAAGATAAGTTCACTTTTTCCAAACAGCTGAGTTCTCTGTTTGATCTGTGAATGAGGTCAGTGCAGTGACCATTTCTTCATACCAACACAAACCTGCAGCTTTTTCTCTCGGGGGGAAAGGCAGATTTTCGACCCAGAAATCTCTGGAAATCCCTATAAACCTCGATTAATGCGTCTAAAATTGGATAGTACGAGTAAAAATTAATTGCACCTGGAGTTCTAAGAATTTTCAGTCTGAGAATAAGTAGTTAACAAACTGACATTTTAACCGACCAGTGACGACGAGTCACAAACGTTTTCTCCCCCATAAGAGGTGTAGCTGCCACGTCTGGTGGCGAGTCAGATTTTGCACAGACCATTCTATTGAAAATTACATCTTAAAAATCTGAAATGTATAAATTCAAGTCGCTTGACAACACAAGAATAAAATTCACATGCGGCTTCGCAGTTGTGCCAAGTTCGACAGATGGTCATTGCCATTCGCACTTTGAAGAACATATTTGTTCATAACAGCAAAATTTGTTCTACAAACTTGTCTATTATTTTTCATAGAAATGGGTATAGCCGAGTTTTGGCAAGTTTTAAAGAGTAAAATTCAAACTTTAAACTTGTTCGAAAATTGGCAAGAGAAAAGTGAAGAAAATATTAATAATCAACGAATCTCTACATTTGTTTTCATCGCTCTCCTAGTCCTTTCAATACTAGCACTCCTGTTCTATTCCTCTTTAACGCCGGTCATTAAAACTTTCGTCGTCAACAATCCTACGGTCACCATCTACAAAGCATTAGAGGGCAAATATCCAAGCACTTTGGCTTGCCCATGCAGTAAAATTGTGATTGAATACAGCAAGTTTATTCTGTCCTTTCAACCTGCATTCAATCAAATCTGTTCCAGTGATTTCGTCAAAGAAGAATGGCTCAGCTACGTCAACTATCGTCCGTACAATAATGTGAAATATCAATACCTCTACGATTTCCGTTATTCAGCGTATTCATTCTTTCAAATGCTATCAACCATTTGTAAACTGGTTTCACAAACAGTTGCTGATCAATTAGTGGAATTTTATACAACAACATTGTTAACGGAAAATCTTCTTACAGAAGAAATTTTCTTGGCCAATGCTCAAGGTGTGCGTGATCAATTCACAAATACAACGAGGAATTCATTTCTAACATCATTAAATGCAATACGAGCAATAGTACAAGGCAATGGAATTGTTAATCGTCTCGGAACAAATTTTAAACTTGGAGCTGACCACAACAACACTCACATTCAAGCAAGTAGTCCAATTTCATATTCATCGTATCAGTGCTCATGTGCTCTATCATCATATTGTACAATGATAACCAGCATTTCTTCCGCATATCGCGGTGATCTATCCTACAATTCAATTGAATTTCCGCATAGTAAAGTGATTCTAGCTAATCTTACATTTCTTGTTACCGGCATTAATGTCGGATGTTTTGTTCTCGACGCTGTTCTTCAATCAAATCTGTCTTGTTTGTACAACACATCATGCTTATCTCAGTTGAACACGTATTTAACCGACTCATTATATCCATATAATGCAACTGCACTGCTGAATTCTTCTCCTTCTTATTCACCTCAAACAATTGGTGAATTAGCTGATAACTTAATGGTTGACAACTGGCTGTTTACTCCATCCTACGAAGCGTATTTCACTGCATGTAATCCGCCGTCGTGCACTTATACATATACTCACCAGTTTGACATTATTTATGTTATCACAACTACAGTTGGTTTCATTGGAGGGATTGTTACGATACTAATGCTGCTAACGGTGCCACTGGTTACATTTATTCGACGACGAATATTCACACAAGGCCGTCTCTCTCCATCGCTTATTGATGACGATCATACAACGGCAGGTTAGTGTTAATACTGAGTAAATAGGAAAATAGTACTTTATTCTGACAGTGTGGAGACATATTCCGATCGAGAAGTATTCCCAATCGGGATATTTATTTTTACAGCAAAATGTTTTTGATAGCCCAAACGGGATATAGTTTGAAATTATATCCTGATCAGGATATAATTCGATATCCCGATTGAGATATAAAAAGAATCTATATACCGATCAGGATATCGAAATTTTGTATATTTTGAAGGTGATGATGATGTTAATTCATTGATTATATCTATTTACTGATTATGTCTATTTGATTTATACACAGGTGACATAAAACGAACAATTACGGTTAAAAAGTTTTTATTGGTTAATGTAATTTCTTACTTTCACATTAACATGTTTCTCATCAAATATAATTAGTTCGAAGGGGTGTTGCCGTACCAGGTAATATGTGTATAAATGCCGCAACGCCTGGAATGATTATGTTCTCTTGGCATCTTCAGAAATGCTGGCTTCACGACTGATATAGGGTCGATGTGGAAAGCGATTAGATCAAGAGTATATCCCATTATCCGCAATAAAAGATTAACCGCCTATTTCCCGATCTGTTTATAAATTCAACCAAAAATTTGTTAAAGGTTTTTGTTCGAAAAAATAGTTGCTGGGTGCTTGATGTACTTTTGATCAAACACAATAGAATTCGATGTAATTGTTCTAGCTCTTTCTAATGGCGAAGTCAATTTTTCCCCAAAACCTCGTCATTTTTCTCTTAATCGTTTTTACGACGAAATTTTGTGTTTTATATCCAGGTCGGAATATCAATTTTTTTCTATATCCCCGTCGGGATATATACCCCGATCAGGATATAGAGCCTCTTACTGTCTGACACTAACCAAACTTGTGACATGCCGAAGAACAATTGAATGCAGACCGTGTGTGCCTAGTTCACCTTGAAAAAGTTTTGGATAGCGAGAACGTTATATTCTGACAAAGTTTTTCCACGTCTGCTATCTGCTAGACGGAAAATAGTTATTTGGAATATCCTGTGACCGCTTCGCAGTAGGACTGAATGGACGAATGCTAGCTTGAAGTCGACCCGAACCGGGTAAGACCTTGATTTCCTGACTAACGTTATAAACGAAAAATTTTCTTCACAGCAGCAACAAATACTTCGTTCTTGTTCAAGTGAGTTTCTTTATTTTATCTCAGGAAAATACCGACTAAGAAAGTCTCTTCTTTTTAGCTTCAGTCAAAATCTAACCATTTTGAATTTCCGTTTAGCAGCGTCAGATGGAATTAGAGTACACTTACGTGTATTATTCATAAACATCAAAGAAGCGGTTATCAATTTAAATCTATTTAAAGATCCAGAAAAGCAAAGTGATCATGATCTGCAGAATCAACGTTTTTCAACGTATGCCTTTCTCATTTCAATGGTAGCAACACTATGCATTCTTATTCTCTACACTACACTACAATTTGTAGCAAAAACTGTGACCGTCAAACAACCAACAGTCGAAGTATACACCAGATTGCAACAGCAGTATCCACAAACACTCGTTTGTCCATGTACACAAATCTCAATTAAAAATGAAAAGTTTATCTCATTTAACCCTACATTTCATCAAATATGTCAATCGGATTTTGTAACAACTAATTGGACAAATTATCTGATTCACCAAACTGTTATTCTTAACGGAGACGACTTGCGCGACTATGGTTCTACTTTCTTTCCGACGTTGGCATCATTTTGTGATCTAACGCTACAGACTATTCAAAATGCTCTACTAATATTTAATTCGATAATATATGTTACACGAAATGTACAACAAAAAGATGTGTTTCAATCACAAAGCGACCAGATTGTCAATCTATTTATTCGAACAACAAGTAGTTCATTTCTTCAACTACTGTCGTTGAATCTACAGCTAACCACAGGCAATGGTTTACTTACTGGTAAATCCCCAAACTGGAAATATACTATAATAAATGATAGCACAGATCATTCGTCAGATCTCGTATTTTATCCACGGTTCTTCATGGATGTTAACGGCAATTGCTCATGTAAAACACATCCAACAACTTGCGGTGAACAATCGGGTATTATAGATACAGACTCTGAGCATATGTACGTCATTCCAGGTTTTAGAACAGGTTGTTTGACAGTTGTGACCCTGTTCACATCAACATTAGAATGTTATTTTGATCAATCATGCTTGGATACAATTTACACTTTAATTTACTCAACATCCTTTTTTCCATTTAATGCTACAGCAATGAATTATTCATCTTCTGCTAGCCGTTACAATACAACAACAAAAATACAGGAAATTATTGAACAGTTGATGATTGAACAGTGGAATAACGTAACATCATTTGATTCATATTTCTCTGAATGTAATCCAGATAGTTGCACTTATATCTACAATAAGCAGGCTGATTGGATTTATGTTATCACGACAATTGTTGGTTTAGTTGGCGGATTGACAACTGTTCTTCGAATTCTCATACCACCACTCGTGGCATTTATCAGACGAAAAAAACGTCTTGTTACCGAACTCGATAGCTATGGTAAGCTGCGGTTTTCAAATCTTTACTAGCTCAATGAGATCAAAATTCCCTTTGATTACCTAGACTCCTTTAAGAGAGGTTTTGTTGCCACATCGAGAACGAAAAATGTACACTTTAAAAGTATAAACATTCGCCTGACTTTCACAGGCAAGAGGCAACGACTGTTGTCTCTGACTTTTCTTTTTCCAAGTAGATGATCAACCACAACCCGCTCGTTCACAGAAACTGGTAAATACTGTAAGGACCTTCATTGCCACCTTTAATTTATTTAAAAATCCAAATAAACGATCTGACGAGGATCTGCGACATCAACGTCTATCAACACGTGCTTTCATTCTGCTTCTGTCAGTTTCATTAGTCGTGCTTCTTCTCTACATTTCACTTGAAAACATAACGTACACTATTACAGTTAAAAATCCTACTCAGGACCAGTTTAACACACTCTACCAACGATATCCAAACACATTACAATGTCCATGCACTACACTGTCAATTCAATATCAAAGCTTTATTCAATTTCAACCTCAACTGCATCCACTCTGTCAAAGTAGCTTCATTACATCACAATGGTTCCAGATTGACTATGCAGCTGAGCTACTTGGTAATGCACCCAGATTTCGTACAAAAGTCGATGATTTTCGTCATATCGCTGGCCTATTCTTTCAAATGTTATACTCTTTCTGTCAACTGTCACTGCAAACAATTGACACTGCATTAGTTACATTTAATTCTACTGCATTTATAACACCAAATCTAGTACCGCTGGCACAATTTCAAGTGCAAACAAATCAGTTTGTCAATCAGTTTACTCAAAATACGGCTCGTTCATTTGCTAGTACGCTAAGTCTAATCAACAATATGACGCAAGCAAATATGTTAGTTTCAGGTCTGTTGACCGATTCAATATCTACTATTTATCCACAATACTATTACCTTGATTACGAATATGTATATGATCGACGAGATCAAGAATACAATTCAACTGGCATTGAATGTGATTGTGAAGAAACACCCTATTGTATTCAACAGGCAGTTGTTTATGATAGCAATAGTGGTAAAAATATTCTATTTCACACGCCAGGTAGGTAAGTACGAACATGTTGGGTGAGTGCGCCGACAATCTCTAAGCGCTGATCCACCATATTCGATTTTGTTCAAGAACGTATCGATCAAGTTACTATCTTTGATCATTGACGTAGTGATGTGAGCGACTGCGCAGATCCTTGTTAATAAGACGTAAAGCGGTTTCAGTGGTTAAAGCCCAAATGAAAATATTTTATAAAGGCATAAAAGGATCAATTAAAAACGAAGATTTTCTAATTTAGTAGAACTTTCGGACAACAAATATTGATTCGACATGTTGGCACGTTGAATAAGCTGAGATTGAAATGAATCGTTCGGCGACTTAAATGCGTCTTTTATTTTTTGCTAGCTATGCACTCAAGTTTGAACAACTAAGCATGTTACATAAATTTTATTTTCTTGAAGGTATCTACGTTGGCTGTTACATAGTTGAAGCCTTACTACAAAGTGATTTACAATGTTTCTTTGATTTTGATTGTTTACAATCGTTACTAAATGCATTAAGTTCGGCATATTCAAATGTTTCCGCCATTGTCTTACCAAACTCAACTCATTACGCAGCTGATACGCCGATGCAGGTTATCGTTCAGAATTTGATGGTTGAAGAATGGAATAATGACACGTCATATGATTCATATTTCAACATATGTCGACCGGATCATTGTACAGCTATGTACGTTAGTCGTGGAAATGTTGTTTACATAATTACAACGACGATAGGACTCATTGGTGGCTTGACAAAAGTATACAAATTCCTAATATCTTTACTGGTCAATGTCGTTCGTGGTCTCAATGTTCCATTCGTACAAAGAAAATTAAATACAAACAGAGTTATACCAGCAGTAGAACACTCAGTATAAGTTGGTTCTCACTGAGAATGCTTTTCATATGATGGCTTAGCATAGCATATTGTATCGTGCGTAATTTACTACTCCTGTTTACATTTTTGAATATAGCTGCTACCCTGCTTTATTTTGAGTGAGTGAGTTTGACAGACGTTGTAGTGATATGAGAGGGGACAAAATAATTCAATATTTAAAGCAATTTTTTATAGCTGGACGCAGTATTAGGCAGATTTTTTGTAGTGATTCTAGCTTGATTTGTTTGTAGTCGTCTCTTCGGGCTGAGAGGTAATACGATTGAATGTCAAAGCAACCGAAAGGTAGTGAGACATTTATTTTCAAACTTATTCATACAACAGATCGATTCTATCCAAAACAATGGGCGTATGCGGATGTCCTTTATTTTGTTGCGTTTCACAGTGTTTTATGTGCCCACAATGTCAATCTTAGTCTGCATACTACGGAATGCGATAAGCATGAACGTCAGCTGTAGTATTGCCTGTAACTTGACCATCTGTCATCCAGTCTCAGTTTCTCAACATATTCAGGTGAATATGTTCAGATAGAGAAATGGATGTTAGACTAGTCAATGAGCGACAGGGGTAATAATCAGGCAGAAACGCGTTGTCAACATCGAAAATTAAAAGACAGTACTAATAATCCGAGCAATGACGAATATAGATCAAGTGACAATGAACTACATTCAGTAGTCGCCATCATCCTGTAGGTGTATCCGGTAAAAAAACATGTAACAATAGAAGTGCCGCTATTCTGTCTGCTGAACAGAAAATGAATGCGTTATGTCATGAAATATTGCAAGTTCCAAGTCCAATTATAATAGCTGCTGCTGTTAATTAATATATTACAATCTAATTGATTCCGGTCTCTTTTCATTATAACATCGTTTGGTTGTGTCTAATACAGATTGTCATGTATTATATGCTCTACCATAGCTTGATTTCATTCAAAGTGATGTGCGCTATTTTTCTATGTTCAAAATGACGAAAACTGAAATGAAATGAAGGAAAATGTAGTTTTGCGGAAAGACTACTATCCATAGTATATAATGTAGTACTTTTTTAGATAATTTCCAACTTCGTAAACAATAATAGCATTATCTGAGATATAAATTGTGGAGTATGTGCCATGTAATATCAATTAAATGAAGAAAACACATACCGTGCAGAATTTACCTTGTTTTCACGAGAACTTACCAGCTGGGGAACCTCAATGGACTATTTTTCCACATAATTCTTAATAAAGCGCAGATAAAATTCTGAGATTTTCAACACTCGCTCGTCAAAACTTCGAATGATTCAAAATACGTATTTTTTTACAACTGTTAAGATTCTGATGATGTGTTCGGAAAAAAGTAAAACATGAGTGATCGATTATATTCAGTATCTTGGCAACATTCATCCTGAGGTTGTGCAATGGCCAACTGATATCCCGCTCGACGAGTAGATGCTGTCACCCTGTACCACAATAAATACGAGTAATCCTCTCATAACAGAGGGCAAACCAATAGCGTGTTAGATGTATGCTTATACTGACATGTTTTTGTTTCATAGATAAACAACAATAATCATATGTACACGATATACAAGAACTTTTCCGAAGTTTATAAATATAACCTAAGTAAGTATCACAAAACGACACAGTACCACATTCCTGAGCATGAACATAATGACCAGAACATGTTTGTCCTAATCTTATCTCACTTTGACATTCACCATATTTTCACAATAATATCAAAATTGTTTGTCACTATAACATGTACAACTACTGTCGACCACTATGCTAATCAATTAATTAATTATTTGGGCAATTATTGTTAAGTAGCATTAGTAAGTGATTGTAGCTCCCCGGACACCAGAAAAATAACGAAAATGTATGAAGTGATGAATGAATGAAAGGAGGATGAAATGAGAAAAAGATGGAACGGACTTTTCTAAATCAAAGGCAAAAACTCATTACATTTACATATTTTTTACCACTACCCAAAGTCATGGAGCTAACTTCTTTCCTCACTTTTTCGTACTGTTACACAGTCATTCTCATAATGTCTCGGGGATTATTAGGTTATGCATCGTTATGGTCAAACACCCTTAAAGTTACCGTTTATACCACCATCAATGATTGAGCAATTATTACAAGTTTACCATGATAGTCCAATCAGTGGACATTTAGGTGTTAACAAAACCTGATACCAGATTTGGGATTGATATTATTGGCCAGGCATGCATAATCAGATTAAACAACATATATCTTCATGTTCCAATCCTTAGACGATGGTCAACAATTACGAACAATTAAATTCCCTTTGCCTCAAAGAGTCCGAATAATCCTATGACGGGACCCTGTAGAATTTCCGGAGGAATCTCACAAGAATTCTATACAAAATCGGTAAGATCTTATGGAATTCTGGGATTTCTTGCAGAATTGATATAGAAAAATGATAGGTGTTCGATCCATAGGAAATGCCTATCATTCTTTATTGCAGGATTCGAACAGAAGCCTAGTACGAGTCTGACAGAATCGTACTAGGATCTAACAGAATCGTAAGTACGATTATATAGCACCCTAACGTAGGAAATGGTAGCAATTTACTGAAATCCTGTGTTGGAAGGCTAAAGAACTAATACTACTGTAAGACCACATTCATCATCAAAAGACACTTTTACCAGTATCAATTACGACTCAAACAGCATTCTCGGTTTGTACCATAGTAGGGTATCGGAATATGAATCGAAAATATATGCTGAAGCCAGTGTGGCTTGATATGCCACGCTTGTATTGTACTGCGAACAATCACCGTCCTGGATGTATGGGAGAAAGTCGTGGGAAGAGACGAAAAGACGCTATTTTATTATATGACGCAAACGAAAATGAAGCATAGAGTCTTGTAGAAGACTAGTGCGTGCAAACTCAATTCCAAATCACGTAATGTATAGAAGTCACAGTTAAAGCAGAATTAAGTTAATTTTAGAGAATAAACTGCAATAACTGAATGTAGATGTAAACTTTGTACACAGAACATTCAACCGAAAAGAGGTTGAAGATTTCGCAAAAAAACGTTTTCGTGTAGTCAAACACTAGAACATGAGGAGAAATATGTCTTTGCGATTCACATTATCCGAAAGTTTGCTATCTTAGTTTCTTGTTGCAATCGTTCGTTGTAAGCAGGCTAAAGGCGCACACGATCAAGCATTTGTGTAGCAAAGAGATTAGCCATACTAATGTCACCTTGATTTTCTTATTGACTTTAATATCGTCGACAATAGTCGATATTGAGAACGTTTGCCTCTTCACATGCAAGACGAGTCTGAGACAAAATTCTACTGGTGATCGAAAAACATCCTTGAAGTCTAGCATCATAGACAGCCACGACATTTGCTAGCCCATCGATAAAGAACAAGTGAAATATTTGAATACTAGGATATGAACGGACATGTTGTTGATTATTCTGGATTGATTCCATTGTGGTAATATAAGTATAACCACAAACGACCTGTTAGGTTCCCTCAATTTTTGATCAAGAGCGGCTTCGGTATTAACAATGTTAACAATACCATTGAAAAGTCTCAAGTCTATAGGCCAACTGAAGATGTAACTATTACAGTCGAAGATCACTACTATGGATTGATCATCGAACAACCAGATGGATATGTGCCACCTAACGTCACATTCCGAAATAAAAGCAGCAATAATTTATTCCCAGTACGTCAAGTGATTATATATTAGAAATTAATTTCATTCTGCTGCTCTCAAAATACGATAATTTCCTCATTCTCATCAGTGGTATGGATCATTAACCAATGGATAAAAATGTTATACTTCCTCATATAACATCCTTCTTCTACGATTTATTTTCTTGAACATAAAAGCAAGCATTGTTCAGTGGGTTTTATTTGGTCAATTTGTCCTATTTTTACTCGCGCACATTTCTGTTTAGGATGAAAACGCGCACATATTAAGCGAGCGTGCATCAGGAACCGATGAAAATGGAAACATGACAAAAATTAGCATATACTTTTTTTTATTCCATTCGATTTTACTCATCGAATTTTAAAAATTTCAATTTTCAAACATCAAATTGAACGTTTTTGAAACATCAAGTACACTTCTCGATGCAGTTTTGCACGCTCTTTCGATTGAGATCCCTAGTCGAGACTTCTAACCAAAGTCACGCGATAGTTCAACGGGACTCCCATCACGGGGGCTCGTCGAGAGTCTCGCAGGACGTTTTGGTAAAGTCCCACCGGAGTCCTAGTAAAATCCCGAAAAATCTGAACAAAATTGAAAAATGTCCCGCGAGAGTCCCGATGAAGTCCCGGCAGGATTCAAATCTCGATGAGATCAGGTCAGGATCGCAGAGTGATCGCAACAAGATAATAACAACATTGTGACTGAATTTGTAATTTGAATTAAGTTAATAATGACTGATTGAAATTTGTCATGTAACTAAGAGACTCAATTAATGAACGTTGTGAATATTTAAAACAATATTCCGTTATTTTCACTACAGGACTTTCTTACAACTTAAGAAACAGATAAATTTTTTTCCAATTTTCGAACTATATCTTGAACTTCATTCAATTTGTAACAATCTTATGTAAAGTAAAATATAATCTCATTTACTTTCTGTTTTACGGAAACCTCAGCTGAAAGTCCTAAATGTCAGGTGCAAAATCTTGCTTATGAAGAAAGCGTTTCAGAACAGCACTAAACAGGAGCTTGGAGTACTTTTAAGGAGATTAGATCGATAGAATTTCTTTCAGGTTATTTTTTCATGTATTTTGCTTCAGAAAAACGGATTATTTTTGACATCAGTGAAAAGATTTTCTTGATATGCTTTAGTGAAATTATCTTAGAAAACATACTTATGTCGCATCTGTTAAAGAAATACTTTTGTTAACTCGTAACTCGGTTCAAAATACTTTGTTTTAACGATAACGTTTCACAAAATATTGACTAACGTTTATAACTTATTTGTAGAGAATTCTAAGTGGTTTCACTTAGAGAGTCAGGAGACACATTGGAATCAAATCAATCATTCTAAGAACAGGTTTAACATACTGAGTGTAACAGGTCACTGTCTGCACGTTTCATAATAGAGTTTTGATCTCAACCCACGTGAAATTCAGCTTACAAGATTTGTCGAATCTTGTAACTTGTTGTCATAAGATCTTACAAGATCAGCTCATAAAATGTGACAACATCTTGTAACACGAAAGCCTATGATCTTACAAGATCTTGTCATTAAGAGGTGTGAATTATATTTATTTCTTATCACAAGATACGTCGAGATTATCTTTTTTTTATTTTTATGCATTGGGGGGAAAAGAGACACTCCATTAAGTCTGAAAGTTCAACTATTAGGATAGAACAACAGTTCAATTATGCGTTGAAACATGCAATCAAGAACGTCGTTGACTTTCAACTGTTGATATCATATTGTATTTGAGATATTGACAACAAACAAAAAATATATATATATACATAGATATTGGAACAACCAACTAAAAACTGCAACAGATAGCCAAGATAATACCAAATTATTCGATATGTGTCCGATTTCAATATCTTAAATACAATATGATATCAACAGTTGAAAGTCAACGACGTTCTTGATTGCATATTTCAACGCATAATTGAACTGTTGTTCTATCCTAATAGTTGAACTTTTAGATTTAAAGATTGTTGACGCTGAAATTAAGCGTAGTAATTAATATAAGTAAAATATAATCATCTATAATATATAGACTTACCATCATTGATGCTACTGAGAGCTTGCCGTAAATCATCGTTTGAATAATGTTGTCTATTATTTTTCTTCACGTATGATCGAGGCATTGTAGAAATTATCAGTGGCATCTGAGACTCCCGAGTCATCAACATATATAGGCAATAAGAACACTCAAACAATCGATAAAAAAAGGTAGCTAAACTTTTAAATGAGCTTTAATCATAAACTATCCTCAACAATAAAACTTGGAGAGAGAGCAGTTGAAAATCGAATTAAATTGTAGAGAAAGTACAAAACTGCGCAGAACATGATTAATACTTTAATCAAATTTATTTTAGTCGAAAATTGTTCAAGTTTTGTTTCTAATTTTGAAACGAAATTGTCGGCTAAGATGGGAGCTATCGGCGAATCCATGGCTACTCCATCACATTGTGTCCAATTTTCATTTAGAAAATGAAAAGGAACATTCAGAGAAAAAATTTGTAGCAGACGTTTAAATTGTGATCGATTGAAAGGACAACTTGGTTGTTTATTCTGACTGTAGAGTAGATCGAGGGCTGTTTTCAAAGCTTTAATTACAGGGATAATCGTATATAAGTTCTCAACATCGAAACTGACAAGCACTTCTTGTTTACTAGGCCTTAAGCTAGTAATCTTTTTCATCAATTCGAAACTATCTTTGATAAAAGATTTTAGTTTTTGTCTTTCATTCGAGAGTATTTTGGCCAAGTATCGAGAGACATTATAATTGTAGGTTCCAGTAGTGGCGCTGATTGGACGTAAGGGAGAGTTGACTTTATGTATCTTCGGTTATCCATAAAAAACAGCAGGTGATGAACAGGTTGATCGAAGTTCATAAAAAAGATCTTTTTCAGTCACTTTTTGTTCTAACATTTCACGTAAAAACTTATTCATTTCTTTTTCTCTCTGTTCTACTTCATTTTTCTTTGTCTTTTTAAATTGTTTGCAATTCAAAATAGTCCGTGCTTTTGTTAAGTAATCGTTTTTGTCGAGTATTACTATAGCATTACCTTTATCAGCTTTACAGATAATGATATCTTTATTATTCTTCAAGGATTTCAGTGCTTATTTTTCTTCGTCGCTAATATTCGTAATAATCTTATTTTTATTCTTTTTAATCATTTGTTTGGAAAAACTATAAATTTCATTGCAAATATGCTTGAAAAATAGGCGAATGACAAAGTTTTTCTATTTTTGAAACGTTAAATTCAACGTCCGTTTGGAAATCAAGAACTGATGTGAGCTTTTGTTCAATACAAAAATTCATTCCACGACAAAGAATTCTTTCTTCAGATGGAGTTAAGACATAAGAGGAGAGATTGTGAAGAATTTTATCTTTCATTGATTGATAATCTTGTCCGATATGTCCTGAGACCATAGATTTTAACTTCTTCTCATGAATTTTGGCGACTCGTTCATTTTCATGCTTTGCTCGAT